ATGGATTGAAGTCGAGACAGCGTTTAAAAATCGTTTGGTGACCGGCATCGTGGTGAACAAGTCGTTCATCGAGCCCCGTCGATTTCTCGAAGCCGTTAGAGACACGATGCTCGCGCGCGTTTATCGAGCGATCGCGCGGCACGCTAGTGTGAAAATGAACACAGTGTTCAACGGGAAGTTTGTCGCGAGTGAAAAAACGAGTGTAAAATCGATTAATACGCGCAATCGCGCATTTTATTACTCATCGGATCTGCACGAGTGGTACGATCGAGACGTGATGAATGCAACAATGACCGCTCTGGAGGAGTTCCAGGAACGCGACAGCGGCTGGGCGTTGACGCAGATATTAAACCTCACAGTGAATGTGAACAGTCACAATCCGATGCGCGCAAGATGTCAGATTAAAATGTCGCGTGAGGTTCAGCTCAAACGCGCGGTAGTAAACGTACAGTCGCGGGACAATGCATGTTTCGCGTGGGCAGTGGTCGCCGCGTTGTATCCTAGTGCTAAAGACACACATCGACCGTCGCAATATCCCGCGTACGCGAGTGTGTTGAATTTTGATGGAATAGAGTTTCCAATAACAGTGCATCAAATCGCGCGTTTCGAACGCAACAACAACAACGTGTCCGTAAACGTGTTTACAGCGGCGGAACAGCGACACGGATACGTACCGCTGCACGTCAAACAAGAAGGAGAAGCATGTGAATCTACTGTATGTTCCCGATTAACACAATGGACACGTGGGACATTTTGCGTGGATAAAAAATTTATCGCGTTTAGTCAGCTCGCAATTGAGCAAAAGGAAGACAGCAAAGTACATATGTGATCGGTAAGTACGAACAAGTGGTGTAACAGTAACAACAATGTTGAATAAAAAAGTAATTTTCTAAATTGTGAGAAGGTGAACTCATTAATCAATGTTGCGTGTATTGTTTGTTTATTGCAACATGTACATAGTTGTCTACACTACTTCTACACGAACGATAAGCTGGCAGTACACACCGTAAATTGTGAACGATTGAACAACAGCGCAATCGTTCTTCTCGCTGAGGGAAAGAACTGTTTGAAATTTGAGAATTACAACAACAAGGAACGGGTTCCAATAGTGGTGTACGCCGACTTGGAGTGCGTACTCGAAAAACAGGACAAAGAGGAGAACGCATCAAGCGCGCACAAGTACCAAAGACACAGTGTGTTCAGCATCGGTTATTACGCGAGCTGCGAGCACATTGACATCGGATACAGATCTCATAGAAGCGAGAACTGTGTGCAGTGGTTCGTAAATGAACTGCACGATCTCGCGAAACGTGCAAAGACCTTGTTCGCGACAAATGTACTTATGGCGAATCTCACACCGGCGGAGCTCAAGCGGTTTCGGAACGCAAAGTGTTGCCACGTCTGCGAACGACCGTTTGAGCGAGATGACATGAGAGTACGCGATCATTGTCATCTGACGGGACGCTTCAGAGGACCCGCGCATTCCGCATGCAATCTGAATTACAAACAGGTTTACGTTGTTCCCGTTGTGTTTCACAACTTGTCGAGATACGACGCGCATTTTATTATCAAGGATGTGGCCACCGCTTTCGAGGGTGAGATCAACGTGCTGCCCGTGACAAAAGAGACCTACATATCGTTCACGAAACATGTGAGCAGTACTCGAGATGAAGACAATCAGAAGTGTGTGCAACTGCGATTCATTGATTCGTACAAATTTCTGAGCGCAAGCTTAGAAAAGCTCGCGTCCTATCTCGACAAGAGCGAACTGCGAGTGACTCGAACGAAATTCAGCGATCTCTCCACCGAGTACTTGAACTGCTCACGCGAAAAGGTGTGTTTCCATACGAATATGTGGACAGCGTTGACAAATTGTTGGAAACCAGTCTACTTTCGCGCAAGGCGTTTTACAGTTCGCTGACCGGTGAAACTGTGACGGAGAGCGAGTACGCGCACGCAACGAATATCTGGCGACGATTCAACATCAACAATTTGGGATCTTACAGCGACCTGTATCTGAAGACAGACGTACTTTTGCTGGNTGATGTATTNGAAAACTTTTGTCGCGAGTGCCTCGCGAGGTACGGACTGAATCCCGCGCACAGCTGCATACGCGTTTTGTCGTTTAAAACGCGCGCTACGCTTGGCGCCGCGACCCCACAATTGTTTTAAATAATTGTTTATCAAGTAGTCGCTGCGATTGTTGCGCGGTTGAAATTGAAAGGGAAGGGAGGCGCGACGGTCGTAATATTTGTACAGAGCAAATATCAACCGACAACGAGTTTTTGTTTATTATCAAGGAGCTTTGCAGAGCGGGAGTGAGTAAAAATTGAACCATTACTCAGCAACCATCGACAGTTTTAGTTGCGCGCGATGAGCGTCAACAAGTTTGGTTCACTGTTGCAAAGTCGCGGTTACGGCTACAATGACGGAGAACGCTTTTGACTAACTAATTTGCGCAATTACGTACGCAACGACGCTCTCTGTTTATCTACATCATTGTCGTCACCTGAATATAATGCAAAGGAGCGTGTGATAACCCGATTGACGAAACCGCGAAACAGTTCCGACGCCGCGACCAAGATCTACGTAGACGCTTTCTCGCAAGCGTTCGACGCTGCAATTATCTTGGGCGCAAACGTGGACGCGCTCTCGACCACTACAACGAACTCCATAGCACAAATTAAGGAAACTGTGGATAATCTGCGAGATAGCTTCGCGATTGCGTTGTCGCGCGCCGAGGCAACAGAAAAGCGGTTGTCAAGTTTGGAGAAGATCGCGACACATTTCGTTGATCGACGCGAGTTCAACGATCTTAAAAAATATAAGGAACAGTCAAGCAAAGAAATGACCGAGGCCGTTGAGCATCTGCGAACAAACGCATACGACCGATTGTTGAAGCTGAAGACAAGACCGCGGGGTGCGGATCCGCGTAAGATAAAAGACTTAAGAAAAAATCTGGATCAATTTTGCAAAGAAATGGGTAAGGCGATTGAGACTGCGAAGAAATGCATACGATCGCTTAGTGCAGTTAGAAAATTCGCGCACGGAAACAGAAACAAAAAAAGTTACTGAGTGAGTCTCTGTTAAACAAAATGTGAGCGACATGTTGTACATCGTTTGCAAGACACACAATACGTAAAACTCGTGTGAGAATCAGCGAGACCAGCAGCTATAATCAAGATGAGCGTCGAGAAAAGAGAGCTCACAGAGGAGCTGCACGCGCCCGCGCGACGCAACTTTCCGCGCAAACGAGTAGTCGTACGCGATTACGACGATCTGTGGCAGGCTGTCGAGATGCAGCCTTAGATTTTGCCAGAACAAAGGTCACAACTACATTCTCACAGTCCTCAATGTGCTGAGCAAATACGCGTAAGCGTTGCCGCTTAAGAGCAAAACGCAACCGTTTTAGCCAAAGGTTACACTCTGAACTGGACCACCGAGGTGTTCCGTGTTAAAAAAAGATGCAACAAACTTCACCAGCGACCTATCTGCTCGAGAATTATCGCGATGAACTTATAGCCGGTGGAGTCTACGAGTTGCACGCGGTTACACATCCGGACGTGTATCTAGTAGAAAAGGTTCTGCGTCGCCGAAGCAACGAGGTATTGGTCAAGTGGTTGGGACTAAACAATTCACACAATTCCTGGATAAATAAGAACAATGTGGTCTAATATTATTATTATTATTATGATATGTGTACTCTCTTTAATTCTTATATTTACAAAGTAGTACATATGTATTTTATTATACAATAAAAATAATTACATATACTTTATTTAATGTGTATTATTATTATTATATCATCANCATAATCTAATCTAAGTTAAGGATTTTGTAGTGGCCTCACGGTAAGGTGTCGGTCAATCCATGGATGATGTACCGTTTGTCGTCGTGCGGGCTCGGAACGAGCTTCCGTTCCGACAAGGTGAACACCTCTTGCAACTAAGATCGTATGCACGACTGCTATCGCGTCAGTTCGGTTGCGTTCCGCAGACATTGCACGTAGTCGTCGAAGGTAATCGTTCTCGCGACGACGCTTCTCTTCACACCTTTTACCTTCTTCGTGCACTTGCTGTCGCCCACTCGAGTCGCGTACATCTTCGCGCGCAAACCCACAAACTCCGTCATAACAGCACCGTTGTTCTCATCTTTCATAAGTCCCGGTACCTTCTTGTTTGCGCGAGGCATGTTGTATGGATTGTCCGCTGGATAGTCGCTTGTATCGAAGCGCGCGATATCGCGCTTCATATCTTCATACACATCCCCGCACTTTATGTGGTATATCAAACTGTCGGTATTGGTGTAGAAGATCTTGCAATTGTAACCGTACAACGGTGCCATGTAGTCGTAATGGAATTCGTATAGACAGGTCTTCGATATGTCGAGTATGCACATACCGACGTACAACGGTTTGTTGAAAAAAACTTCCAGACGACGCAGTTCTATGACCACTAAATCTTCAGCAAACACGCTGCGGCTGTGAAAGTTTAGTTTTGCAATGAGCGCCTCCGCACCGCATCGTCCTTCCCATTTTGTAACGANTCGTACGTCGGTGTACTTGCGCACGTTCTTCATAGTCTTGCCAAACACCGCGTTGTTCATGAGTTTGTACAGGTTCTTTGCAAACTCGTTGGTGGCGTTCGCGCGGAATCGGGTATTCAATTCAATGTATCCGCGCAGCCAAGGCGATTGCGAGAATCGCAGTACTCGATGTATTTGCGTTAAGCAAAGCTCGTGTCACAGACACTGTTGCAGGTTGAGGTAGTGAATCACGTATCGCTTTTTGTTGAACACTGTGGCGAGCAGTTTGACGTGATTCTTTCCATGTTTACCAGGCGNCTCCTCGCGCGTCGGACAAAAAGGCAAGTCTCTGTGCGCGTCGTGCAATTCTTTTGGATACGTCAAATCGATTTCGAGTATGTAGCCAACGTCGCTGTCTGCGGCGACCGTTGTCACATCGAACTCGTAAGCGTTCTCCACTCACGCAAAGTTACCATATGGAAGCGGTTGACACATCGCCCATCCGTAAAGATTGTTAACGTCGTAGTACATCAGATACGACGACGGTTCGGATGGATTATACGATTGCGCGTACCTGTTGTTAGCGCGGGCGTATCTGTTCGAACATTGACTCAGACCGACGCGTATGCCGCGTTACACAAACATCACCATGTCGATGTCAGTCAGCAGCTCGAACGTCACACAGGTGTACTTCAACATGGCATCCCATGTACATCCCGGCAGCGTGTAGTAGTGCGCGGGATTCAGTCCGTACCTCGCGAGGCACTCGCGACAAAAGTTTTCAAATACATCAACCAGCAAAAGTACGTCTGTCTTCAGATACAGGT